GGCGGCGGCTGACAGCGGCCTGGCGGAGGGGGGCGAGGCCGCGGGGAGACCCGCCGGGGCCGCGCCGCGCTCTCTGCGCTGGCACCGGCGAGCGGAAGGCGGTGAGGCCCCCGGTTATCTCGGTGGCAGCCCTCTGGGGAGGCCGCAGCACCGAACAGCCGGTTATGTGGCGGCCTTCAGCACGGAAGAAAATTGCACCGGTGTCGGGGAGTATTCCCGCTCCTGTGGAGCTGTGCTTTAGGGTGATGGTGGAGAAGAGTCGTGGTGGAAAATAGGCCCTAGAAGTGCACCCGTCATGTCACGTTTAAAGTGTCTTAAACAAAACAACCGAGCAGGAAAAGCGTGTCTTGGTTCTGCTGATGCTTGAGGCGCGCTGAGGATTTTAAGTTAAGCGTAGAAGTCAGCACAAAGCGTAGGAAAGGGCAGCAGTGTGCACGGAGGGTGACGAGTATTCAGTTACCGTCAGGGTTCAGAGTGGAACGACACCTTACCTTCAATACTATAGAGAAAATAATCACAAAATTTAAACTGACAACCAAGAAAATTTCTGGTGTAGGTGCGTTTCACTTTTAAGTGGAAACTTAGGATTTTGTTTGGGTTTAATTTTAATTCCTGTACCTACTCTTGTGATTGTTTTTTCACGCCCATTATAGCTATATCGTAATGCTGAAACAGAAATTAAAAGCAGCCCTTCAGATTACAAAGGCATACATTTGTAATTGTGGCAGGAAAGATCTCATTTTAAATGAGAACCAACAAGTACAATTGTAAATCTTCTGAATCAAAATGGTGTTATTTGACCTTTTGTCTGTGTTAAACATCTGTGGAAATTCTAAAAATTGAACCTCGTGTTGCTAGTATTATTCCAAGAAACACTGAATTCTTAATTTTTGTAATTAATCACTTTCTTAACCTGCATGCCTTTTAATGAACTTTTTTAATGCAAAGTAAGCAAAGCTTTCCACGAGAAAAGGTTTCTTATGAACTAGTATTCCTGTCTCATTTGAGATCGCTGTCGTTTCTCTCAAAAATATCAAATTCCAGCAATTCTGTTGTTAGCGCTTGAGATATCTCAAAGTCCTAGCCTTGAGTATTGATCTCTTTTATTTAAGGTTTGGTTGATTTACAGCAGGTAGAATCTTTACAGTATCCAGAGGGTAATAGCTAGTAGCAGTTGTTTTGTTAGCTGTGTGTTGCATTTTGGTTGGTAAGATTTTTGTACACCTCTTACTGGGATGAATAGGAGTGGTGTCTCCTTACTGACTGGACAGTCCTAATGAAAAGAAAAAATTCTAAATCTGTGGGCCTGTTAAGCAATTTTGTACAAACTTTAAGAAGGTTTTCTGAATCTTGTGCAACCCTCTGTTTTCTTGCCTATGCCTCAGAATGGAATTAATATTTCATTTAAATTATTTGGAGAATGTTAGAATATGGAATTTTTCTTCTGTAAAATGTATAGCTAAGGAAGGAGTTGATGTTTAAAAAAAAAAAGCACGGGGAACTTTATAATAATAAAAGAGTCCTTATTCTCTGAAAATACTAATGAAGAGTAAGGAATTCTTCGGTATATCTCTTCTTGAAGTAATTGTGTCAAAATAGAACTGCTTAGAAATAGATTCCCTTTCTCTGCATTCAATGTAAGTTCAACTGATTTTGGTGGCAAATAAAATTTTTTTTGTTTCTTTGCCCTTCAGTTAGTTCTGAAAAGTCAATACTGTTACAGGAGCTGAATTCGTATCAGGCTTGTGGCAAGGACAAACTCATTTCAGTGACACCTATGAAACGCAAAAAAACCCACAGTGGCATTACATAAGTACACGGGAAACTTTTGAAATCTAGTAACAAGATTTCTGTTAGCAACACTTGAACAGGAAAGAGCAGGTGTGAACAGTTGAGGATACACTGACTCTGGTGTTGACTTGGGAGGGATTTACCCTTGAATTCAGTCAATTCTGGCAGTCACTGAGCAGCCGTGAACTTAAATTTGTTTTAGTGAATTGTACCACTGTTCATAGGGAATTATTCTTCAGCCACGTGTTTTTAGGGAGGCAGAAGGGATCTAAGCTTTTAATTTTTTAAAAAGATAGCAAGTGAAGCATCCCTTAGATGTTTTGGCAAAACATAGTCTGGATAGGCATATGTATTCCAGTATGTCACCAAGGTTATAACCTTGTCACTTGGTTATAACTTTTCTGGGATTTAAATTGGGCTGTAGATACTCCCAATAGCATTAATGTTCAGTGAAAAAATTGCATTGAAATACTGTCTTTAATGGTCATTAAGACTGCTTTATTTATAGAATTTGCACGTGATATAAAGAGACTTACATGTGACAGATATTATGGAATGTAGAAATAAGCAAGTCTGCTCTGTAAAGAGGATTTATTTTAATTTCAAGCCGTCATAGCTGAATGATGCAAAGCTATTATGAGGAGGGCCCTTTTCTAAGCCTTTAATGAAGTTAGTTTTTTAGATCTGTAGATGATGGCTGTTGAAGAAAAATGAATAAAATATTCTAGCCCTATCAGAGAGTTTAATACTGATAACTTGGATTACATGGAACACTTAAGTTTTTGACCCAGTCAGGATGCTTTCAGAACTACGTAACTTGGGAAGGAAAGCTTGAAAAAGCTACCTCCTTGTAGTGCAGGCAAATGAGTAATCTGCATAAATGGAGAATTATAATGGAGATCACTTTAAAAAAGAAAATACTGTGATCTCTGCAGTCAATATTAAGAGCAAGTCAATATCAGGGACTCTTTAGTGATTAAAAATCAATTGAATTCTAAGATTTAGGTTTAAATCCACAGTGATTGATACTCCCTTAATTTGTGAAAATGCCATATAATTTCACAAGTTTTTCAAGGTTTTCCTTCATCTGTAGAGGAAATTTCCCATTGTTCAGCACTGACAGAATTACTCCATGTCGCATCCTCATACAAGCTCTGCTTATTAGACGTTTTTTTTGCCTGTGTCCCACGAGGGACCTGATCAAGTAGGCCTGAGCAGAGCAGGCCTAGTGTGGAGCCGCAAGACTGCTGCTTCTCTTTTTTGCCGAGGCGTTTGCCTACGCTACGGGGGAACTGAGTAGCCTTCAACCCTTCCTTTGACGAGGGATGGAGTTGCATGTCTCACATTTTGGTGAATGCTCTGACTCCGGGCAATGTGCAGCTTTGAAGGGGATCACTCCCTACCCGGTGTTGAACCTGTTTGCCTTTGAAGAGAAGGAAGTTTTCTTAGGTTGAGACCCCTGCTCAGCATGCTGCCTAGGAACTGGGGCATATAGCTGGGGAGGAGGCACTGAATTTTTTTTGTTCCTTGCTCAAAGAACTATACCTAGATTTGACCCGATGACCAATTAGTAAAAATGCACAAATGATCTTCAGAAATGAAGCAAAATCCAAGTCATCTGCTTGGGCAGCTGAAGATGAGGCTGCAGTTGTCTTCAGTGAATATTCAGGGTCCTTTTATGTGTGAGGAATAGCTTCAAGAGGAGGGACTGAAATTGCCTCATCTCTAAAAATGTGTGTTTGGATGCTTCTTTGTAAGATGAAAACATGGGTTAAAAGTATTTAAAAGCAATTGAATTTGTATCTCTTAATGTAGGCAAGAAATGTAGTCACTGAATTAAGATGTAAGACCACACCAGCACCACTAACTAAAGAAATCCCTTTATCTGTTTTTGTGTAAAGTTGTTGAAATCCTGAGGTCACTAACTTCTGGTGTGAAGTCAACATCTCCTGGTGTTAGACCTCTAAGCCCTGGATAGAGGTAGACTTTAAGATAAAGCGTTGTCATCAGCATTCCTAATTAGCTGGTCCAGGCTAGTTCAGCTCCGCATGTTGGCTCAGTGTCCTGCCGGGCTCCCCTTGCCCTGCCTAAGGAGTGCTGATGCTGAACACGGAAGGCCAAGTGCCAAATGTTTGACATTGCTCTTCATTGATCAAGCCCTCTGTCTTCAAAGGTTTGTTGGAATTCCTGCAGATTTGTGTCATGTCCCTACCTTCCAAATAGCCCTTTATTATATCTGAACAAAATGTGAGATTTTTTGGCTGAGTTCTGGTTGGCTGGTGCGTATATGCTGATAGATCAGAAAAGCAGACAGATAACTGCTGTGCCTGGTGCTGTAGCCTTTCCTGAGAAGCATGAGAATTCAGAAATTTTTACGGATACCGGTTTTCATGGAAGGTATATGCATTTCAGACATGGCATGTCTGTGTAGGGTTTGCTCAGAGATGGTCCAGGGGTCCTGAGGTTCATGTGGGAGAGGAACAAACCAGTAGAACAGCATGATCACCTAAGCCTGGCTTCTGTAAGAAATCAGGATTAAATTATATTTATTGTATTCAAAGGTTGTTGAGTAAGTACAATGACTTGGATTAGCTGTGCAGAATATCATGGGATTAGGTAGCTAAAAGTTAATGTAAAATAAGAACACCTAAATCTTACAAATTCCATCCTTTGTAAACGGTACAGCTGTTTGAGGAAGGTTTGGGGGCTTCACCTTTCTCCCCTTCCACCTCCCCTTCCAACTTCATCCAGTATTCTGGTCTAAAATTATCATGAGAAAATCAGTCATTTATCATTGTTACTCCACTCTATTGCAGCCATTACTGCAGTGGGGACATGTTACTGTATTAAAACCATCAAATTACTCAACTGTAATGGTTTTTATTTATTATGTAATTTCTGAATTTAGACTTGTGCATTTTTCAGCTTGTCAGCTGAAGTACTGCTTCTAATAGCAATACCATAAAATTTACTGTAACTATACTATGTAAAGGTCTTTTAAGGAAAAAAAAAAATTACTGTGTCTTTTCAAACTGATTGCCTTGTATGTTTGGCCTTTTTTTTTTTTTTTTTTTTTTTTTTGTAAGGTGCTTTTACTTTGCTGGGGAAGAGAAGGCCTGTATATGCGTAGGGATAGTGTGTCTGCCAGAACAAACAGATAGACCAAGGGTAATCATTCTGAGTATGTTGCCTGTTAAAAACAAACCCAAAACGATTTCTAGTTTACCTTCTTTATTATGCTCTTCTCCTTGTGTTTGCTCAGTTTAGAGCACTGGAGCAATTTGTTCTTCTAGAGGACACCCCTGAAATACATTGTTTCTGACAAGGAGCAAGAATCTATTAAACATTTGGCTTATGCTTTTTGTAGAAGTTGACATGATGATTAGGAGATGTGAGATTGTTTTCTTAACACACTGGAGTGCAAGAATGGCAGGAGAGCTGGCATGCCTGACAGAGTATGGAGACTTCATCTGTGTGTGGTTGCTTGAAGTTTTAGGAGTTGAGAGCTTTCCGCAGCTGTTTGCTGATTTAATTAGATTTTTTTTTTTTTCCTGTCAAGAAATCTGAAGGTCAGCACATGCTTAGGAGAATCTGTCTTTTATGATAATTAAATACCCACAGATAGATCTTTAAAAATCAGTGGCGCACACTTTTTAATGATCTGTTGTGTTCATTTCTGTGCTGGTCAGGAAAACAAACAACTATATTTTAAAAGCTTGTAAATAGAGAGGTGGCTGTGTATTGCAAGTGGCTGAAGTATCTGTGGAAACGGAATGTGGGTACTGTCTCAAAGCAAAGATTTCTGCATTTGCAAGAATTAATGACCAGTGTAGAAATCGAGACTGTTTATTAGGAGATTGTTAGTGACCAGCAACGTACTAGCAATTGAGCTGTGTGTGTACTAGTATTTTCTTAAACTTTTCCCTGTGTGACTCAGCAGCATGCTTCCCAGAGTTGGCTAGTTTGTGCTGTTACCTGGGTCCTGCAGTCACGCAGGTGGAAAAAAATACCAGTATGGTTCCTAGGTCAGCAGTAGTGTTGGTGTTGGTATCTTGATGGTTCTGGTAGCGCTGGCAAAAAGCTGTAAGGGAAGCATTTACCGCAAGGCTTTACGCTGCGGTTCTGTGCATCTCTTGTCTGGCTGTGTCGGTAGGGAAGCTGGAGAAAGGAAACAGTGGGGTGGTTCTTAGAGGAATTAAAAATCTTTCTAGGCATGTTGGCTCATTGCTTGGTTTTGCTATTATTTGTTTTGCTTTTGAATTTCCTTACTTAAAAGACATATGTAATAGCAGATTAAAGAAGACTGCGGGGTTTTTTTTTTTTCATCCCTGCAAGAGCTTTGATTGTGCTTTCCTAGAAGTTGGATGAAAATCTATTTTGTCCAATGCATGTGAATATTCTGGCTTATGTTGAAAGTGTTACCTCAGCAGCTTGGTTTGGAAGGGACAGGTTCAACTTTCAGTTTGTGGTGTTTTACACATACTATGGGAATTCATTTGGGGGAAGAATCACTGCATAATATTGAAAAGCTCACTGAGATAAGGACATCTTGTACAAGTATCCTGTTACTTAAAGGGCACTGAATGTTCATAGTACTAAATAGAATTTCTAAACAGATGGTCATAATTAACATAAAATACATCCACAGATAGAGTCTATTTGGTGTTCTAGTAATTATTTCAATGGTCCGATACTTTAGCATTAATTAAACTGTAGCACAGCCAACAACGGAATCACAGTAAAAGAGTTACCAAATTCAAATGCGGAGGGGAGATCTCAGCTTCCTCAAAACAATTACTTTTTTTCCGTCATCGGAGAAAAAAAAAAAAATAGCATGTTAAACATGTAATTAAAACATTTGTGTATTTGCATTCTAAGAAGTTGCTAGGAGAAGCTTGTTCATAGCCTTGAAGTGAACCAACTGGTCTCTAGGTTGCATAGAAAGTCAACACCATTGCACATTGCAGGAAAGGGTGGGGCTGTTCAGCTCTTAGAAGCAGCTGTGAATTTAAATCTTCATGACGAAAGCTTGAATGTAAACGGTTTCGATGAACTTAGGCTTGTTACCTTTTCCAAGAACATGAGTTATATAAGAGGGGATGTCTTTCAAAACAATTCCTATAAATCCATGTTGTATTTGGACTGCATTTATGTAAACAGTTTGCATGGTCCTGCTGTGCAGAGTGAGGTGCTCCAAGAGAAAAGACTATTCTAATAGCAAGCCAGCAGAGGTTGTTGCTTGCCTTATTATGAGTTTTGCCCTAAATACCTGGATTTTCTACACATCAGAGATCTTCCCACTGTGAGTTCATGGAAGTGGAGTCACGTTGTTGTGCAAGGTAGAGATGTGAAAAGCAAAACTGAATTTGGCAGTCTCTACCCTTGAGGGCTCCAGTGGGTTCTTGGGAGAAAAGGGGGAAGTAATGCAAGAGAATCATAAAACTAAACCTAGTCTCTCATTCTTTTAGTGTTTTCTTATGATTCTTAACTTTTCTTAATTGATTCGACTTTTATGGAAAGAGAAAATACATCTTTTTTTTTAAAAAAAAAAAAAGCAAAGCTGTGTTTAGTTTGGTGGCTGATTAAGTCTGAATAAGATCTGCAGAAGGAAGACATTGTTCTACTTCAAGTGAAAATAACATCTTAGGTCTGCCCATCAAAAAAAATATAAATTCTGTGTCTTCTCCCCACCCCAGGCCTGTTCTACAACTAGGGAGAGCTCTGAGGGGGTTGAAAACTTGAGGTTAGATTAGATAGTGTGAGAGATGGTTACTGTGATTCATGCCTTTGTGTTTTCTGTGCCAATAAATGTCTTCCTCTTCCTACACTAAAGGTGTATTTAATCCTGTGAGAAGAACTTTAATGCCATTTGTTGTGAATAGGTTTGATTTCAACATATGGTAGTCTGCGTTAATTCAGTTCATGAGCCTTTTTTGGTACAACTATTAAACTAATACAAAGTTAGGGTTTTCGAGTACGACATACGGATTTGGTTTTATTCTGTAAGGTATTGAAGTGGTGGGGTGTTTTTTTTAATTAAAAATCATTCTGAATTACCAGAAAGCATGTTTTAAATACTCTGTTATTCACTTACAGCTGCCAAAACATAGTACAGTGAAATAATGGTCTTCTAGCCTGCTAAACAAGTGTCCAGCTTCCGCAATGCCTGTGCAGGCAGCTCAGTGGACAGAATTTCTGTCCTGCCCAATCTGCTACAACGAGTTTGATGAGAATGTGCACAAACCCATCAGCTTAGGCTGCTCTCACACTGTCTGTAAGACCTGCCTGAACAAGCTTCATCGCAAGGCATGTCCTTTCGACCAGACTGCCATCAATACAGACATCGATGTGCTTCCTGTAAACTTTGCACTCCTCCAGTTAGTTGGAGCCCAGGTATGATTTCAGCAGCAATTTGTTTTGCCACTTCATGTTATTACCGTTTACATGCCAGTTACAATACGCACGCTGATCTTTTTCCCTCCTTTTAGTCTTAAAAAATGGTAAGACTTTAACTGTGTAATATTTAGAAGTCCATACATACTCTAAAAGCAACCACGCCGTTTTCAAGACCATCCTCTTCTCGTACAACAAGAACATGTTCTAGTAGTAAGCTGAATTCTGGTTTAAAAAGGCTCTTGAATTGTGACTGGAGAAAAATACCCGTTAGGAAATAGACAATTATCTGTCACAATTGTAATTAGAAAAGTGAACCTGCAGATAGCGCTTGTTTATCGTACTCGTGCAGGGAGTCTCATTTCTGCGTGTCACACGTTCGAAAGTAGCGAGCTGTTCAGCCGAGTTTCAGAAGCGTGTGTGTGTATAATTTTTTTTTTTTAAATATGCATGATGATGGCTTTTCAGTTGCGTTTTCAGACACTGGCTAATCAGGCCAGGAATGTTCCTGTGCTGTCTCGTAGCAGAGGCAAAACAGCGATTATATAATCAGTACTGCGCTTTATGGAGACTAAACAAGTCTGTTCACCTTATGCTGATTCATATGCTTTTTCATGTTACTCTCACTATAACAACGGGGTTATGCAGTAAGAAGATGCTTTTTACTTTGCTTTTTAATGTCTTATCACATGCCTTGACACAACTATTGGTAATAATGCTGTCTGTGGGTTTGTTTCTCAAGTTTACATGTTCCTTTCCTTTTTTTTTTTATTCCTAAGTTTGTGTCAGATCGCTGCCTTGATCTTACAACATCCATTTTCCTGGTCTCCTAACTTCTTGCAATATCTTTCAAATATTTTTGTGTATTGTGACTAATGCTCCCTCTATTTTCATTGTATGACCTTTTTACTCTTTTTTTTTTTTTTCACCAAGTTTGCTAGTTCTTCTCTTTGAAGATTTCAGCATGTCCAAATTATGCTTAAATTATTTTTTAACTTTGCTTTTGATTTTTTCATGTTATTTTCTTGCAGCTTAGTTTTGTCTCATAACTTCCCCTATCTCTGTAGTAAATCATGCTGATCTACACTGATCATCCTCTCAAATCTTGTGTTCTTCATTCATCTTTTAAGTACCTTCTCATTAGATCTTGGTGGTTGTTTTCTAACCTACTTCTTTTCTTAATGTGTTACGTACTAACAAAAATAATCTTCCATCACCCCGATCCTCGTCTTGAGTCCTTTTTTGTTACTCCTTATTACCTTCTACATACCTTGGGGTGGGTCCTGTCTTTCACTTCTCTAAACAGCAGTGTACATCTGCAGTGTTATGTAATTAATAGTAGTGATGTTGGTACCATCACAGGCGTATCAGATAGGTCAGCCTGGTATAAATAATTCTTCTCCCCCTCACCCCCCCCTTTGCATTTCCTTAGGTACCTGATCATCAGACAGTAAAATTGAGTAATGTAGGAGAGAACAAACATTATGAAGTAGCAAAGAAATGTGTTGAGGATTTGGCACTCTACTTAAAGCCCTTAAGTGGAGGAAAAGGTGAGTGTCTGCTGAACGGTGGAATGTTCAAGTAGCTTACTTTTAACAGCATTGTGTTTTCAGCACTGATTTTAGATGTCAATGGGATAATCCTCTCATTTTTGTAATAAAATTTCCCTTATGTCTTTGAAGGCTTATTCATACCTGTGACACTTTATTGTTATTTTAATTTTAAGTTTTCAAAATACTCTTATTTAATCACATTGCCTTGGGGCTAACTTTATACTAAAGCTGAACTTTCCTCAATGGATGGGTTTGTCAGTTTAAGACTTTTAATTAAAATTCTTTTTGATAATGAATTACACAGAGTTGCCTAAAAGAAGGGAAGATACCTGTGACTAGTATCCAAGTCCCAGAGAAAGACACGTATTATTAGATACTTTTGTTTGTCTTACTCAGATAAATTTGATTAGGAGCAATAGTTTGCCTTTTCTCTCTTTCTTTGAAGGTGTTGCAAGCTTGAATCAGAGTGCACTGAGCCGTCCTATGCAAAGGAAGCTTGTGACACTGGTGAATTGTCAGCTGGTGGAGGAAGAGGGCCGGGTTAGAGCTATGAGAGCAGCTCGATCGCTGGGAGAGAGAACGGTTACAGAACTGATCTTGCAGCACCAAAATCCTCAGCAGCTTTCGGCCAATCTTTGGGCTGCTGTCAGGGCACGAGGATGCCAGTTTCTAGGACCAGGTAAAATACCTGTAACAGAGTCTGCAACAGAGTGTATATTTAACTGTACCTTTTCTTAACAAAAAATTATTTGGAAATTTCTTCTGTTCATTTGAAGATGTAATTACTTCTGGTTTTCAACTTTTTGCCAGGAAGAAAGGAGAAGGGAAAAAAAAGAATTAGACAACTGGTTTAAAGTTTTTGGTGTATCCCCCTCATTATTAACTGTTCTTCAAAGCTGTGAGGAAGTATTTCAGAAGTTCTGGCAAAGAAGCGTAAATAAGCATGCTTTCTGCAGTTTGTAATCCAGTGCAACTGTAACGCGGACTGGTTGTACTGCAGCCTGTGATTAGGATTGGATAGGAAACTGCAAATGCTGTCTTGTTCCATACTTTAGCTGTAAATACAGTCAACATAACTTTAGTTGCAGCATACATGAATTTTGAAATTTATAATCATGTTTATACATTTGATAGAAACAGCAGAGTCTTAGTTAAGAATGCTGCTGAAGCAAGCACAGAAATGAGAAGGAAATTCCGTTTAAACTGGAAGTAGTCCTCTTGTTTCCCATAACTGATGATAGCATTCCTGTACTGTTCCCATATTTATTTTATACAGTTTCATGGTGTAGCATCAATGAGATGTCCAAAATGCCAAAAGCTACAAGACTGCACAGTGGCAAAAAGTATAAAAACTTCATTACCAATGTGTTTATTACTGAAAATTAGTCTTAGCTGTTTAAGTTTACTGTGCTTAGAGTGCTAAATACTTCATTTAAACTAGCAAATTTCTTAAAATGTTTACAAAGCTGTTTTCTTATGATTAGTAAAATAAAAATTAATGAGGAATTATATTCAAGATGATTCCGATGCTCGCTCTTACCATGTTAATATATGATAGCCTGGCTGTTTTCTGGCAGTATATTTCACTTCTTATCTTTTATTTTTGTGTGTTAAAGCTATGCAAGAGGAGGCACTGAAACTTGTATTACTGGCACTGGAAGATGGCTCTGCACTGTCAAGAAAAGTTCTGGTACTTTTTGTTGTGCAAAGGCTAGAACCAAGATTTCCTCAGGCCTCTAAAACGAGCATTGGTCATGTTGTGCAGCTACTGTATAGAGCATCATGCTTTAAGGTAAAATACCAATATTTGAAGTCCGTTACTGTGAACTAGCTCGGGAGAACCTGACCTAAGATTAGTGTCTTACGCCTGTAAAATGTTACATTAATTCAGTTTCTACACAATCTACACACATAGATTAGACTATAAGAGTTTATCTAGAACTGTCATGAAGTAGTTGTTTGATATTTTAAATTCCCTGCAAAAGGAACAAACAGTCACATGTGGAATTAGCCGGAATAGATTCCAAAATTACTGACCTCATTATTAACAGCTGCTCATCATCTGGAAATTCTGTTCCCTGAAAGAGGCATGAAACCTTGATTCTGGGCACTTCTAGCCTGCTTCAGGAAGAAGTGAAAAGTTTTAATATAATTGCTTTTGACTTTATTTAGATTCATAAGAATTGGCCATGGCCAGACATGCCGGGCTGGTCTGGATGCTCTCAAAGCTTAGAATCCAGTCCCACCTTTCTAAAGAAAATTTCTGGAACGGCGTAGTCCTGGGAACCTCCCCAGGCCCAACAGCAGGCATGGGAGAGGGGCACCATCCACAGAGAGTGTCTGTGCTTAGCCTGAACTCAGCATTGCATTCCCACACCTTGGTCGCTCTCTCTCCTTTTTCTTTTATCTGTATGTAGCCACCTTGCACTGAAGAGCTGCTTTATTTTTGATATATAAGGGTGTTTGTTTAAACTGAATATTCCCTTATATCTGGAGAAGAACAAAAAGTTAATTCCATGGGTCTTTTTTCTTTTTGAATCACACTTAAAAACATGATTATCATATCAATAAACTAAAAATGAAAATAATGAGACCTGTTGCTTGCCTTTATGACAAATGTCTCCTGTAACCTGTTTTACTTAACATTCATAGTGGGTTGTCAGTTAAATATTCTCTTTTTTAAGTGTTGCTATCTTAGAATTTTTCTTATTTTTTATTTAGTCACTTCTGGAGACTCTCCTGTTTCTTTAAGTCATCCTTTAATTTTGGGTAACAAAAAGTACTAGTAGAACTGCTAAATACCAAACTGTGACTTAAGCAAATCTGATCGCTTTCCTAGTTGGAAGTAGTGAGTTGGTATAGTTTTGTACCTGTGAAAACTTGAAGAACTGGCATTTCTCCCTGTGTACTGCTAGCTAAGTGGATGAATATGTGGAAGAAAACTAATTATATACTAAATATACAAAAACAACGCTTTTGTGATTTGTGCTGTGTAACTATCTTTTTCTGATGGACTTGAAGGAGGAGTAATTAACTATTACTATTTATTAGGTCACTAAAAGGGATGAAGATTCTTCTCTGATGCAACTTAAAGAAGAGTTCCGGAGTTACGAGGCTTTGCGGAGAGAACATGATGCCCAAATTGTTCACATTGCCATGGAAGCAGGACTTCGAATATCACCAGAACAATGGTCCTCCCTTCTCTATGGTGACTTGGCACATAAATCACACATGCAATCTATTATTGACAAGGTTCGTCAAAATGGATGATTTTAGTATCTTTGTAGGATTAGATTTGACTGTTAAATGTTATAATAAAAATCCAAGAACTGCTTGAGTTAACTTCTTGTCTTTAGTCATATCAAATATTAATTAAAACTAGAAGTTTTTTTCCCCATGGTAGTGTATTATTTATATGAAGACATTTTGGTTTTCAGTAGTTTTAAGACTTAATTCCCTTTTTTGTGTCTTATGATGAAGCTTCATAGGGCAGATTCTGAGCTGAGAAATAAAATTTCTCTCCACTGATACTCTCTATATGCCATCTGAAGACACTACGTGTTGCGTTTAGGAACCAGTGTAATGCGAATCTTTTTAAGATTGGTAGTTCAGAGTTATAAGATGCAGCACACTAACGCTCACTTTGTTTTCAGCTCCAATCTCCAGAATCTTTTGCAAAGAGTGTACAAGAGTTGACAATTGTCTTGCAGCGCACGGGGGATCCTGCAAACTTAAACAGGCTGAGGCCTCATTTAGAGCTCCTGGCAAACATAGATCCAAATCCAGGTATGGAGATGAAGCTTTTTAAACTCTTCTTGATATTTTTCATATCTAGCAAAGTCGATTACTAAGATGATAACCTCCATTCCTGGTTTCAGAATTCCCATTAATTAACGTAGTATCTCATAGACCCTTCTTCAGGGCTCACTGAGCTCTAAGAGAGTTGCCTTTTATTTGTGGTACTACTGGAATTATTAACAGAATGACAAGCCTGGTTTTAATCATTGTAGATGCAGCATCTCCAACATGGGAGCAGCTGGAAAATGCAATGGTTGCTGTAAAGACTGTGGTACATGGGCTGGTGGATTTCATTCAGAATTACAGTAGAAAAGGCCATGAAACTCCACAGGTAACTATATTAAATTGTTGCAATATGTGTCTTAATGTACATTTACTGAAAAATGCAATTTTGAAAGATTAATATTGATTTGAAATATTTATAGTGTGGAATAATTGATACTGTTATTTACTGCATTTGCATTTTGAGAACCTAACATTTCTGAATATGGAATGCAGCAGAGCTTCCTGCAGCGAGATCTATACAGTGGCATGGTACTCAGCCCATCAACAAGAAATTTCTTTAGTTTTCTGATTAAAGGTGCAAAATGTAAAAACTTATCATGCCTGGGTTTTTTTGTGTTCTAGGCCTGTAATGTAAATCTAAGATTGTAAGAGGAATGTCTTGTGTTTTGTTTTGTTTCTAAAGCCACAACCAAATAGCAAATATAAAACAAGTATGTGCCGAGACCTTCGACAGCAAGGGGGATGTCCAAGAGGAACAAACTGTACATTTGCTCATTCCCAGGAAGAGCTTGAAAAGTGAGTGTGGGAGACCTTTTTCTTGGTTTGTTGGTTTTTTTTTTTATTATTCTTTTTAATTTAAATCCAAGTAATCTCCATAGAATTTTGGAAACAGTTTCTTCTCTACATGTATTCATTTGGAAGGATTTGTGAATCTCGTGACAACACTTCACTTGAAGTTGAAGGAACAGTAAAGCAATGTCTGCAGCGTAATTCCAGTTTTATTTTTTTAGTTTACCCTGTATGAAGTAAAATTTCCTTTCCTAAAACTGAGTCTAGACTCAGTGTCTGCCAGGGATTGGTTATATCACCTACAGGAGAGACAATGTTAATTACATTTTAATTGATTAAGCAGTAAAGTGAATTAATGGAACAGTATGCAGCATCTGCTTTCTTGAAGCTGTTGTCACCCAAATCCTTTTTCAAAGAACTGCAGAAATTGATCTTCTAAGAGGAGACATGATCTTTGGTTACAGGGAAGACGTTGATGTTCTGTTTGCAGAGTGTTGAAAATAAGCACCAGATTTTGAAGTCTTGTAACTTTTGGATATCACGTTCCTCTCAATCTCTTCCTTTTGCTAGTTTTACAAATATATTTAACTTCACAGTAAGCGTTTTTATATTTATCTGTGTTTTGTGTGTGTTTGTAGATACCGCTTGCGGAACAAAAAAATCAGTGCAACAGTGAGAACATTCCCCCTTCTAAACAAAGTTGGCGTAAATAGCACCGTCTCGACCACAACAGGAAACGTAATTTCTGTCATAGGAAGCCCTGAAGCAACAGGGAAGATGGTGCCAAGTACTAATGGAATAGCTAACCTAGAAAGTGGTGTTCCCCAGTTGATCCCTCGCTGTGCAGACACCTCCTTGAGAGCTTTGGAGAACACCAAGAAGGGAGGGAAGACTGGAGCCAATGGCCAGAATGTTTCTGGATCCCCTACAGAATCACTACCTGAAAAGTAGGTAACTTTTTTTTTTTCCCATAAAGAGAACTAAGCACAACATTTTGCTTTTAGATTATCGTGGAGTTTGTGGGTGGCAAACAAAAGATGTTGAATTCTGGTCCTGGCTTGCAATTGTTGCTGGTGCTCACTGGCTGCAGAGTTGTGTAAGATCTTGTACTGCAGTGCAGATACCGTTATACAGAGCCTGTGGATTCGAGTTGTCAGACCCAGCGTTGGTTGTTTTAGCTGTTAAATACTCCCATGCAATATAGATAAAATGGTAATCCTCTCCCTTTATCTTTTATTCTGTTGTTCTCAGGCTGGTATCTTACTATTGGGTTATTACATAGAAATAAAACAAAAACAAAAAAAAAGCACTCAAAATTTGAAGTTTCCTGAAACCGAGAAGGGTGCATGTAGTGCGTATTCCCTTAATATAATCCTGGAAACATTTTAGTTTTGGGGTTTTCCCTTAAAACTTTTTAGATACTTCTCCAGAAAGCACTGAGCTTCTAAACTACTTTTCAAAGCCTTTCTCTTTACCAGAATACACTTACAAGGGGTGTGTAAGCGTCTAGGTACATACCAAAACATTTATACTTGCTTTTGAGCTTTATTAAGAGAAAGTCTAAGATGCAATAGTGGTATGAAAAGCAAAATTTCAGAGGAAATGACATGTCCTGAATTTCCACGTTACAAGGGAGCATACACAAACAGATGACTAACTGAAATGAGTAAAGATGTGTTTAATGATTTCTTGGTAATCCTTTTCAGTAAAATTGGTTCTCCACCCAAGACTCCTGTAAGTCAGGCAGCAGCTACCTCAGCTGGTCCTCCTAATATTGGAACAGAAGTTAATTCTGTGCCTCCAAAATCCAGCCCGTTTGTTCCCAGAGTACCTGTCTACCCTCCACATTCTGATAATGTTCAATATTTCCAAGATCCCAGGACTCAGCTGTCGTATGAAGTTCCACAATACCCACAGACAGGTGAGTGAGATGAGCGCTGAATCAAAAATAGCTCTGAACTTTTCTCTAGATAAGTTTGAATGCTGAAAAATAACTTTTATCTCAGTGTTGTGGGATTATTATTTTTTTTTAAATATCAGCTGAATCTTCACTTGATGGAATACTCATGTGGTCTGTATGGAAGGGACCTGTAGTTTGCTCCCAGTGTTGGTGGTTCTTGTCTTTGTGTGCTGTGTGTTATGCAGCTTGTACCTCAGCATCCAGGAGAACCTGAACTTCAAAGTCTCTCATCTACTTTTACCTTTGTTAGCATTTAACTGCATTTTCATGCCCTATCTGTGAGGGTATCCGTAAACAGGATTCAGACCCAGAGGTGTAGCGTGCTTTTACAGTGAGACTTACACATCTTTGTGTTCGCTCAAATGTTTTTGAAAGGTTTCAGTCATCTTTTTAGGTTGCAGTGTGCGTGTTTATATTCAAGCAACCAATTAGGCGTTACAGCATCAGGTCATTCACAAGCCCAAAGAAAAAAGAATAAACTGAGTGTGAAGTGTTTTTTTAGGGACCTTTGTAATCACTCTTTTTTTTTTTTTTTTTTTTTTTTTGTTAGCAATGTAACTTTTTATTTTAGAGAGAACTATTTTAACTTCCTGTATAAAGAAGTGGGTAAGATGCTGTGTTTTCAGTTACATAGTGATACCATAGTACATGGGAGCAGTGGCAGAGAAACTCTGTTTTCAAATTGGGTCAAGGTGGTAAAGGGTCAGCGTTACATCTGCAAATACGGTCTCGTACATAAAATTGTATTCCACAGAGAAATGATAGGGTCAGTAACAGGTTTGTGTGACTCTAAAGGTACTTATCAACACTATACAGTTTTAGAAGGTGTAACATTCTGGGTCATTTGTGGTTACATTAAATATGCCTTTTTCCAATTTTTAAGGATATTATCCACCACCTCCAACAGTACCAGCTGGTGTGGCTCCCTGTGTTCCTCGCTTTGTGAGGTCCAATAACGTTCCAGAATCCTCCCTCCCACCTGCTTCCGTGCCATATGCCGATCATTACAGTACATTTCCCCCTCGAGATCGACTGAATTCTCCTTACCAACCTCCTCCTCCGCAGCCGTATGGACCAGTTCCTCCTGTCCCTTCTGGAATGTATGCTCCAGTTTATGACAGCAGGCGCATCTGGCGCCCACAGATGTACCCACGAGATGATATTATTAGGAGCAATTCTTTACCTCCCATGGATGTGATGCACTCATCTGTCTATCAGACATCATTACGTGAGAGATACAACTCTTTGGATGGGTATTACTCTGTGGCTTGTCAACCTCCAAACGAACAGAGGACTGTGCCTTTACCAAGGGTAAGTGAGAGCCAGAAAGGGAAGGTCTTGGTTCTGAAGGTCATTACTGAAAAATTGGTAAACAATTAGCATAGACTTCTGCTGTTTATTTGGGGTTACAGTGATCAAGATGTGTGACCTGGACAAAATTCATGTTTTGTTTTTAACTGTAATAAAACAGGCTTGAAAATAGAGCACTCTATTTAGTGGTCTCTTATAGAGACCAATCACTCTAATAGACCAGTCTGCATAAGGACCAGAGCCCTGCTGCCTCTTTTAATTGCCATGCATGTTACTTGAATTTACATATTTGAGATTTGAGTTGCCATACATGGGCCAGGTGGTTCTCCAAATCCTCGTGAAATTCTTTGAGCGATACCAATGGAAGGTTACAGATCCAAGGACTTTGGGGGTCCGAGTGTGTCCCCTGCCAGTATTTGCCTTCGGATTAGAGCATGATAGGATATACAGTCCTATATTTGTTATTGCTAGGAGCCTTGTGGTCATTTGAAGACTGGTTATGATGAGCAGTTAAGACGGAAGCCGGAGCAATGGGCGCAGTACCACACACAGAAAACTCCTCTGGTATCGTCAGCCCTTCCTATGGCAACACCATCTCCAACACCACCTTCTCCTCTCTTCAGTGTAGATTTCAGCACAGAGGTGGGAAGCCAAAGAACTTCCTTATTTTCCCTTCCTGTTTCTGTAAGGTGCCATTTAATACTTCTAGTAAAGATTTTCTGCCTGCCATCTATTCATAAAATTAAATTAATCTTCTAGCAAAAGTAAAGCAATATGTAATAATGAATGCATTCCGTTTGATATTAAGGTGATGCTAAACATGATTGTGGAAAAAAGGTCGAGAAGTGAAGTGATTCAATTTACCATCACTAAAAGAAATGTAATTTTATTGAACTAGCTTTGTGAACCTCCAGGTTTTTATGTAGGGAACAACAGTTGTTTTCCATTGAGAAGGACTTTCCCTTTTATACTCCAAATGGCATTATGGCCTGATGAGTAGACTGAACCAAGCTGGAAATGCTTGTCAAGTCCCAGAGAATACATATCTCTTAAAAGTGGCAAAAGGCATTGGTAGAATATTGTGTACTTATGTGATAAGTTCTGTAAACAAGAATGGAAATGCCACAAATAGGAATAGTGTGCTTTTGAAGAAAAAATAAATCTTGTATTTATTTTCTCTATGTGTGAATTAAATGCATCCAAGAAACTTATTTTGAGAGCACTGTGCCAAGCACTCTGTGCTGTGGTTTGGCACTTCTGTTGATGTATGAGGTGTTAGGCTCTGACTACTCAGAAGAGGCCTTATAACGTAGGGGTACCTGAAATCCCTTAAGGGTGCATTCGAGATAGATCAGGATTTTGTCCTTTTCATCTAGGTTGAAGGATTCCAAGTCAGACTTCTATCTGTCACTGGCTTATACGTGAAAGGAAAATGCATGGCTTCCTCTCAGTTTAATTATTGTAGATACTTGCCTGGAGAAACCTGCCACTAACATGGTGACACTGATTTCGGTCTCTCACCTTGGCAGACCAGGCAGTTGGTGGTGGTGGCAAAGCTTGCCCTTCTTTGACAGCTGTCAGCTGCATCAGTTTAAAATTTTGACAGAACTGGTTATGTTGTCCCTAAGTCAAGTCTTGAATACAGCTAGAACTACTCGATTGACTTTTGTGATAATTTAATTAAATAGCACTAAATGTCTTCTTTTAATTTTAAGACTGAGTTCCCTGTTTTTATTATTCACTGCTTATTTATTCCCTTTTTCATAGTTCTCAGAGAGTGTCAGTGATTTGAGTGGAACTAAATTTGAGGAAGACCATCTCTCTCACTATTCACCGTGGTCTTGTGGCACTATTGGCTCCTGTATAAATGCTATCGACTCGGAGCCCAAGGACGTGATTGCCAATTCAAATGCCGTGTTAATGGTAGGGGTTTCTGCATCTTACCTCATTACTGTAATGATACTCATATGCTGAAGTGTCTTCTGTTTGGTTAAACAAGCCTTCTTTAAATGTTGATAGCTTCTTTCTTAGTATTTTCGAGTAGTTCTGCCCATTTGAAGTTGTTCGGAATATCTTTTCCCAGTTTTGTAAATAAACAATGCCTTTACTTCAGTGACAGAATATAGTGCCATGCATAAAATTCTCAGATGTCTGAAAGGGCTATTTTAATAACAGATCTCTGTAAATCAAGCTTGTAGCTAAAATATTTTGAGTAGATGGTCTGTAAATTGGTAAGAACTCATTAATTTCAAATGTGTTCTCTGATTATTAGAGCAGGATAAAAATTTTTGATTACATATTTTTGTTTGTCTGTCTTCAGAGTTCTGTATATAAATGTGTATGTGTACACATGCATCCTTACAATTTGAGGCATCTAAAATAGAATATACTGCAGTGCCAGGCTTGACTGGTTCCTACAGGGCCACTGTGACCAGTTCAGAGCAGGTGATTCCACTGCAGAAACACATTTCCTGTTTTGGTTTAAGTGCTGTAGTCCATCCCGTATGAACGAATCACTGGGCTTTTCAGGATTCTAAGATTTTTTACATTGCCATTGTTTCAGAAAATCTTTACTTGGACGTTAATCCGAAGAGCAATATACACTCAAAGATAAAAGTTGAAATCCTGGGGACCCAGGATAATCAGCATGAACTTAATCTTGGCTGTTTTGTACCCACAGAGAATCTGTATTAACCATTTCCCTAGACTATACCTCTTACTTGGTTGGAAGGCACATTCTCCTCTAATAAACAGTTTAATGGCAACAAATGTGTGAAAATAAAATACAACTTATTTTTTATCATCCAATTTCCATGAGAGAGGAAAAAAGCTAGCTGAAAGACTTTAGGGAACAAAAAATACGTAGTATGAATCACAGAATACAGCTTATCTCTGGAGGAGTAAGAGCTTGTGCTTTTTGGAGACTGCTATATTGAGTAGCAGGTTACCTTTATGTTCTGTGAAACGAGTGTAACCAAATCTCATCCCAAGCCTGCTGTGATACTTTCTCCTTCAAGTAGAGGAAAGGGTACTGAAGGACTTTAAAAGCATACCAGAACCTTTTCTGCCTGGAAACACAAGTTGGGAAAGGCAAAATAATTTCTTCTAGCACTGGCTGTAGCTTTCTCGTGGTCAGTTTGCCATTAAAGGGCAGTAGTTACATCACTGAAACCCGTCTTGGCTCTCTAGTTGGACAGATTTGCAGCATTGATTTCAGCACCAGTAATCAGTTATTGGCCAACAAACTCAAATGAGCCCATGTATCTTCTATCTCCTAAATATGTAGGATTTGGACAGCGGGGATGTTAAAAGGAGAGTGCATTTATTTGAAACTCAGAGAAGGGCAAAGGAAGAAGATCCTATAATCCCATTTAGCGATGGACCGATCATCTCCAAGTGGGGTGCAATCTCCAGGTCATCCCGCACGGGTTATCACACGACAGATCCTATTCAGGCCACTGCTTCCCAAGGAAGTGCTACTAAGCCCATCAGTGTATCAGGTACAAGTACAGGCTTCGTATGACAATATAGCATACATCATGAGCATCTCACCCTGTTCATGCTTACTACAGCCATGAAGATGCGAAGAGCTAAAATACCTCTATGTGCCACTTTAAGAACAGAGAAGATAATGAATGATATCTTCATTTGTTCCAGATTATGTCCCTTATGTCAATGCTGTTGACTCAAGATGGAGTGCCTATGGCTCAGATTCTAATTCATCAGCACGTTATGCAGAGCGGTACGGACTTTTTTTCTGTGTTCCATTAAATATGTTTTCTATAGCTTGCTGTTCTTCACAATCCCGAATGTGGGGTGAAAACAATCCAGAACTATCAATAGACTTAATTTTAAAGTAAAAGATTTTTTTCCAGCATAAAGCCTTGAAAAATCTAGGTTAAAATTTGTGTAGTCTTTAATACTTAATGCAGCTAATAATATCCAATTACTTGCAACGTATCCCGTGAGAGACCTAATCAAAGTATTGGAGTCAGATACTGCCAAGCTGTCATGTCAAAATCTGCAATCCTGAGTAGCTTCTCTCAAGTTTTCTTGCCACATCTTACCCATATGTAAAATAAGGATATTTGCTTCATATAATGCCCTGGGGTATTGTGAGCCCCAGTGAAGATGAAGAGCACATTATCTTTGTTGCTTAGTTTCTGTCCAAAAACCTAACACTGATAGATTAATGAAGTTTATAGTTGATATAGAGAACTTGTTTTTAATTCCTAGTTTTGCCTTCTTTCTCTTAAAGGGACAGGTTCATAGTTACAGATTTGTCTGGTCACAGGAAGCATTCCAGCACTGGAGATCTATTGAGTATTGAATTACAGCAGGTAAGATCAGATATTATACCATGTGGGGTTTAAATTATTTTTTTTAAAGTGATTTAGTAAAGTAATTTTAAATAAATTTTCTTAGTGTAGACTGCAGAAAATAGTACAATTGACAAAATGATCAGTAAGGGTTAACTAGACGCTAGTCCTGCAACACTTAGCTTAGGATGATGCATCAGGACTGCTAATTTGAGCTGTTCCACTGACATCAGTAAGGCCATTTTTGGGAATAAGTGGTGGGCCTGGTACATGTCAGCAAATGCAGAACAAAATAAATGCCATGCGTTAAGGGAACACATAGTTATTCACCCAGCAAGAGAAGTGTTCTTTTTGTAAGCTGGTTTATTTTGCCATTTGACAATACGTGGTTTGAGTGTAGTTGTTGGTAACTGCTGTGTTTGTTTCCATAGGCCAAAAGTAACTCGTTATTACTGCAGAGAGAGGCGAATGCACTAGCCATGCAACAGAAGTGGAATTCTCTAGATGAAGGCAGTCGTCTTACCTTAAATCTTTTAAGCAAGGAAATTGATTTGAGGAATGGTGAGGTAAAGGAAGGGGTAACTGGGATGAAACAAATCTTTGAGTGTTTCTGTATGTGCATAAGTGCATGCGTTTTAACTAAGAGTTCAAACTCTTAGTTTTCATGTTCCCGAATATTTATAACACATTATGTGCTGTTACTGCTGTTGTTGCACCCAGTTTATTTCCTTAAGATCAAGTAGGTACACTGCCATGCTGCTGCTCCAGTCTCCATTTACAAAATGCAAAGAATGGGACATTTTCATGCAGCCATTACTTTTCATTCTACTTGTACACGTCACAAATCTAAACATTCTGCCAGTGGGCTCTACAGAAACTTCTGCTTCAGTATTCATTTTATCTCTGTTTCAGTATTTTAATGTGATTAGATTTAGCTTTTTATCCTATGTGGTGTATGCCCAAAGTTCTATTTGCATCTAACTAGCTCTTTCGTATTGTAGAAATGTTCTGTCCTAGAAATGCATCGTCTATTTTCACTTTAATACTTGAGTGTTGTGTGAAGCAGGTGAAAAGCCAACTTGATATTTATAAAACGTATTCTTTTTTTTTTTAGACTGATTATACTGAAGACTGTGCAGACACAAAGCCAGACCGAGACATTGAATTGGAGCTGTCAGCCCTTGATACAGATGAACCTGATGGGCAAGGTGAACAAATAGAAGTAAGTATAAAAATCCATGTGGCTAAAGACATCACTGGGTCCTTTCATTAGTTATTAAAAGAACTTCTAAAATTTCTTTGTGAGTTAGTAATTGTGTTGATAGCAAAGCCTTTTGTTTCTGTCTTTGTAGTGATATCAAACATTTGCCTGATTTTAACACTAGGGGTCTCATACTTCTCACTCAGATACCTGGCGGTTAATATTACCCAAGTTAAAAACAGCTCACTGTGTTCTTTGTCATAGATTTACAGCTTTTGCTCTTTATCTTTTGACAGCTTTAGTAACGATGGGGAGTCTGTTCCTTTCCCTTTTCCCTCCAGGGCTGAAACTGGTTAAGGATGTTTTACATTGAGGTTTGCATTTAAATGTGATCATTTAATTTAAATTTTATGCTCACCTGATTCTAACAGTAAAGTCATTCAAATCATTGTAATCCAGAGTTCTTTTGTTTTCACTACTGATTCATTGTTCATTTGCAATTCTGTGCATCTGCCCTAGTTTCTGCTATGATGTTTCCTCCTTTGCTGTGCAGGCATAAAACACTCTGGGGTTCATTCCCCTTTTTTTTTTTTTTTTTTTTTGTTATTAAAGCATTGTACACTTAGAAGAAATCAAGGTTCTTATCTGGAACATATTCCACAGTACATTCCAGTACTGGCTACAGCTCTTGTTTGCTTTGCTTGTGGTATGTGATGCAGTACTGTAGTATGAATTGTGAATTGCCATTACATGATGGAAGGACCTTTAGCCTTTCCCCCTAATTATTGAAACAGCTCTCACTGTCTTTATTGCCTCCTTTGTATCTCACCTGATAAATAATTTTTTAGCAACTGCTGTTTATACTACTCTTGTCATTCACTGGAATCTTTGATTAATTGATTTTTCCTTTTTCCTGTAGTAAAATATGTTATGAATATAGCATGAAATACAGAGAGAGAGTGTGAAATAAGGAGTCTTATGATGAGACTCACGTTTCAGTCGGCTTCGTGTAGTGGAACATAATAGGAACATTTAAAGCTGGTAGCGACAGTATTGATGGACATTTCTCCTTTCCTCCTGTAGGAGATTCTGGATATACAGCTAGGTATCAGTTCTCAAGACGATCAGCTGCTCAATGGAACAACTGTAGAGAATGGGCACCCACTAAAGCAGCACCAGAAGGAATCTATGGAACAGAAGAGACAAAGTTTAGGTGAAGACCTTGTGATTCTGTGAGTGTTAGACAAAACAGCAGTGTCTGCCAGTATTAGACAAACAGCAGCATCAGAATAGTTGAAGCATGATTGTTTAAGGATGAACTACGTACCTACTCAGACTTGGATTAGACATCTGCATTGTGTATACATGGTGAAGTGAGAAGAACCTGTTAAGAAATAGAATTAGGTCACAAATATGAAAGTTACAGGATGGTACCACTGTTCGTCTGCATTGTTGTAATCGTATATACTGAAACGTGTCACAGCAGTTAAAAATACCTTTCACATTCAGTAAGCAAAAAACGCAGAAGTATTTTTGTAGTTGATAGAAATTAAGGAAAACTTCAAAAGGTTAAATGTCATACTCTTTGCACAAATCTCCATAGAGAGGTAGTTTTTAAAATACACTATTTTAGGTTTCTATGTTCTGTAGTCTTTAATGTGTAATGCAGCCTTTGAAAATGAGGCAGACTACATTGAACACCTTGAGCGTACCGTTCCATAGGAAGATGTTTAGCCTGTTGCTAAAAATAAGTTTATGTCAGTATTTATTTAATGCACACAATTCAGTTCCGGATACATGTGCATGTACTTGTTTAATATTTGTGTAACTTATTTTTCTCCTCAGGGAGGAGCAGAAAACAATCCTGCCCGTAACTTCTTGCTTCAGTCAGCCGATCACAACATCTGTTAGCAATGCAAGCTGCCTGCCCATCAGCACATCAGTCAGTGTTGGCAGCCTCATTTTGAAAACTGCTCACATTATGTCTGAGGATAAAAATGACTTTTTAAAGCCTGTTGCAAATGGCAGGATGGTTAACAGCTGAAAGGCATTCATCTTTCCAGCTTGTGACCACACCATGGAAGCATTTACACTAGCTTTTTATATATATAATATATATTATATAATGTATATTTTTTTTAAAAAAAATAATATTGGGGTCATGCATTTCCTGTGGACTCTTTGATACTTCAAGCCCCTCTCGCATTAGCATTCTGAAGAAAAAAAAAAAACTTACTTTACTAGGGTAAGGCGTTCACTTTCCACAAATGAATGGAATTTGGACATTGATTTACTTAAGCTTAAAGCAGCTTTTTATGAGTTTGTAGCAATCCGGTGCGGTATCTGAGCCATTCTTGTTTAAAATGGCTTCTGTAGAAAACTAACAACTCAGTTATTTAAACTAGCAGGATCCTACGATGATACATCTAGTGAAAGGAAGACTAACTTATTTGTCTCTATTTTGTTTCATGAGAGAAGAACTTGTGTCTTGTTGCAGCTGCTTTTTCTTTAGTTGTGGAACTTTGCATGGAGTATTGTTTCCTGTTTGAAGACTGAGAGGTGGAGATTTGGACTTGAGACTTTTACAGGGTTAACACACCATTAGCTTTGCACTGCTACGTTATTTGCAGGTCTGTGGTGCAGTGCTTTGCTGCAGCTTTTTGTTTCCATTCCCCCCCCCCCCCCC